GGTTTCGCGCAGTTTTTGGTAAACTATTTCAATTAAACTTGGCAAATAGATGTAATTTCACGAACTTTGAGATTTTTTTTTTATAAAAAAGTTATAATTATGAATTATTTGTTTGGTTTCTATTAAATGTTTTTTGATGTATTGTTTTTCTAACGGGGTTGTCATGGTTCAATAATAATGAAGCCTCTATAGGATTATAAAGTTAAAAAAGCAACGGCAAGTTCTCCGATTGTAGATGAATCGTTGCCCAACCTCAGAATTCCATTAAAATGGAATCACCACCGTTAAGAATACAAAATTCTCGTAACGTCTTACTAACAGATCGAAATCGCAGTTTGAACTATATGAACTTTTTCAATATCACCGCCGTTACGCGACCGTGGAACTGAGAACTTCATATTGTGCTTGGGCACTCCTAAATAGAGCCCTTTATTAAAATAACATACTGTTCAACCAATACTCGGCAATATGCGTCTAATTAAAAGTCGGGTAGATCGTTAAGCAGCACACGCTTGTTGATATTTCAAGGGTAATCCTCTTTGACATAATATAGCTAAGAGATTGTTCACGTGCACGTGACGTAAACAGACAACCTGACCGGACATTTGTTAAGTGATGACAATAGACTACTCAGCAGTGCAATGACCGTTCTGAACTAGGCTCATGAGTAGAGTAGTTAACTTTATGTATACATTTAAAAATAATATTGTTTATAGTCACACACACTTAAATACCGTTTTGTATAAATAGCTTAAGTTTTGAAAATAAAACCCTCTTTGATTCAGACATCAACGCTGTCTTATTGACAACGGAGCACTCCTGACTACAGCATCCTCTCACTGCGGCCAAGACACCTTTAGCCGTTAGCTTATCTGATCAGTCTTGTGAGTCTGTGAGACTGGCAGTGAGAAAACCATTTCCTAAGGCACCCTTATCCTCCCCCCTTTCCGTCTGTTGCCTTAGGTCGCACGGTGACAGGCTTCCCCTACTATTTATATAAGTATATATTCCGTAGCGTATGGTTAGGGCTAAGCTGTTAGGTAGGCAACTAGGGTTATTAGTGATAGTACAGCTTTCCCTGACCACTCATGTATAGCCAGCTAGCTACAGCTAGGTAGTTGACTGTACAGAGATACTACGCAAATTTTAGCAGCAGTGGAGTTCTTTGTGAAAGAGTTCGTTTAGTGTAGTACTACCACCTTACCTATTTCTGCCGCCAAGCAGTAATGTAAACGTTACTGCGTTGGTTTTGGAGGGTAAGGGTGCTGGTGAAATTACAGGCACATGGGACTTTTACACCTCAGGGTGAGGGTGCAGTGGGAATGCCCCCCAGATCTTTGTGTTTTAAAGCTCTGAGTGGCACTGCAACTGTTATGGACAGACGTGTCGCTTAGCACCGGGCGCACGACATATTCGTCTCGTCACTTGGTATAATAAAAAAAAACTCGCGTATCACGTACAATATTTGCTTTTTCAAACGAACCACCCCTTCGGGCTTACGAAGCAGTGTACGCTATTTTCGATCCGACCGAAAAAATAATATTATGTTTTTTAATAGTTTAGTTATCAATTATAATTATTCTCATACAACCATTAAGGATTCCACATAGAGGACGTACCGATATATGACTTCTATGTTATTTGAAATGTACTACGTTTAAAAGAATGACCCATACAGGTGTTCCGACCGCGTCGTTAATTTGACTGTACGCTTAAAGTAAGCTTATTATAATATTACTCATATTCGTACCATGACAAACCTGTCAACCAAGTAATCTATTATTGCTAAATGATTGAAAGAACGAATGATTTCCCAATATTCCTTACTAAAATTAAAGAAAGAAATAACGCTATATGAACTATATAATGCCATCTCTTTCTTTTTTGATGTTCCGAATCATCTTATCATAGTATAATGTTTAAGTACTTAATGTTATTTACATTCATATGTAATAATGTGTAATAATAAAATCTATTAAAATTACGTTGTTTTCAATTATTTTTCTGCATTTTCATGAAGAAAAATAAATAAAAATACCTGAGTTTTGACGGTCACGTTGTGAATTCGGATATATAGTCTAGTGTCAACTGTTAGTTTCCTATGTGCTATTAAATAAAAATAAACAAAATATTGAAGAGATATATGTATCTAAATAAATAAGTTCAACTTAACTTTTAATTATTATAAATGAATATTAAGAGAATAAAACTAAAAATAATATTATTTCCATTGCATCCGTGTAACTATTTTAAGATTGCTTAATTTGACATAAGAGCAATATTACTTTAAGGCTGGAACAAGTGCCAGATTGACGAATTAGGCTTTTTTTAAATTAAATTCCTGATAATTATAACAATCCAATAATCACAGACAAATATATGATTGCTAGTAGTTCTTAAATAATTGAATGTATTGAGTAAAACTACAATTTATTAAGCTCTTTTTACCAAATAAAATTCATTTTATTTACAGTTACGTCCATCAAATTGAATAAAAAGCAATTTCTCTTAACATGCAAACATCTGTTGTTTATAAATTTACATGAAAAAATGGATAATTTAATTTCAAACACAATGTATAGTTCACTTTTTTTTTAACTTATATAGTTCATAAGTTAAGTGCTATTATTTGAAAAAAGAAATCCTTCCCACTCGCGAGGACTACAGTACTACACTCAGGGTCGTATTCTAGAACTCTATTCAATGCTCAAGTCAGGATTGCACTGGCAACACAAGCACTGGAAATACGACCCTAATGGCAGGGACTTGAGTATGATATCGAGTGCTTTAAACCATACTCAAATCCTGACTTGAGCATTGAGTAGAGTTCTAGAATACGACCGTTAGACACCTTTCAGGCTTTGCGACGAGTGGATTGCGCGTGTGTTTTTAAGCAGGTTTATGCCACAAAAAGTTGCTGTTTTTAATTAATTTCACTTTTGTTTGTGTTAATTTAATTTGTATAAATATATCTGACTTTGTTATTATGTTTTACATTTTATAAATTAGTTATTTCGTTATATTTACATTGCGTTTTTTTTAATAACTACCAAAGACTAGACAATGTAGATGTGCCGAAATAAAAAATAAATCTAAGGTGAAGTGTGGAACTTGTAGCACATACATTATACATGCAATTAATATGGCATTGGATGAAAAGCTTTAAGTGTTCTGGAAGAGAAGGCCTAGATGTTCTGCGTAGTACCGCGGAGTGAATTCCGTTGCCCTTGGTCTCGGGTTTGATTCCCGGGACAATGAATTTTTTAAATGAACTTCCTGAACTTAGATAGATAGATAAACACTTTATTCACTGATATAACACAAATACAGATTAAGCATAAAAGAAATAAGAAAACATGATTGTCATAGCAGTGAAACGGCGCTGACTCAGCATATGCCAAAGTTTCCTAAAGCGCTGATTTTCAGTCAAAACCAACGAGAGGGATTAAGTTATTTGAAAACAAAAATATATCGGCTACGAGTAAAGTTATACATTGACAATAATAATATACATAGTAAAGTGTAAATAGTTCATCTAAAATAACCTGTTTGACATGTAAGTGCATGAGCAAATGTGAATATAATTACAGCTGTAGGTGTAAGTTATGACTGTAAAGAGGATTTAATGTTGTGTAATGTAATTAGTATTATAATATAATTATACACATAATAAGAATAGATCAAAGCAACAACAAAATTCGACTCTAGACAGACTACGTTAAAGAATAAAAACACACTACACAGATTTTTGAAGTGAGAGTAGGTGTTGCCGGTACAGTGCTTTGAATATGGGTTTGGATTTGGAACTTGGATCTGGTCTGGGTTTCTGGTAATGCCTATGCTTGAATTCAGTTTCTCTGGGACTCATACGGAGTACAGGGAGTTCCCTAGTTTGAGACCAGGTGGTTGACAACAGAACAGACAAAAGTACATTTCTCAAATTGATTCTACCGGGAAAAGAATTCGGCACCAAGAGCTGCGGAATACACTACGCGGTATTACCCAGACCACCTAGTAGTAAAAAACCATTTTAGGAAAATTCGTTTCCGAAACTGGTTCTACCGGGAATCGATCGACGGTGACCAAGATGTACGGAATTTTATCCGCGGCACTACCAAGAACACCTGGGCCAAAACTATTTTAGAAAAATTCATTTCCCAAATTGGTTCTACCGGGAATCGAACCCGCGACCAAGAATTACGGGATACACTCCGCGGCACTACCCAGAACACCTAGGCCAAAACCATTTTAGAAAAGTTCATTTCCCAAATTGGTTCTACCAGGAATCGAACCCGCGATCAAAAGTTACGGAATACACTCCGCGGCACTACCCAGAACACCTAGGCCAAAACCATTTTAGAAAAGTTCATTTCCTAAATTGTTTCTACCGGAAATCGAACGTGCGACCAAGAGTTACGGAATACACTCCGCGGCACAGTGGCGCACTGTAGCGGTTCTATAAACGGCTAATTTTAAGACGCATTCACGAATAGCATTTACCCTAATTTCATGCTTCTTCTGTCACACCCAATACTCGCTACCGTACATCAGGGTTGGAACCCGCCTTTCTTGACACGTTTTGGCTACCCATAACCCATAGGCTCTATTTACTTGATTTCGACTATTACTTTCCGGTCCATATCATCACACTAACCATTTCTTATTAATATAGCGGCAGTCGTAGTGCTGGTGATCTTCTTGTGTATCTCACGCACTAATGAGCAGCTGCCATCGAGAGCAAGGGGGAAGCAATGGCCGTGAGCTTAGATATCGCTAAGGCTTTTGATAGAGTCTGGCACAAGGCACTTCTATCAAAGCTACCATCTTACGGGCTTCCAAAATGGCTGTGCACTTGGATCGCTAGCTTCCCGTCTGAGCGGAGCTTAAAAGTCGCTGTGGACGGATTGTGCTCAGACATCATGCTACATGCTATGTATGAGAATAATGGCATAAAATTTTGCCCACATAGTAAACAAATGACTTTTTCTTCGCAAATTTGATTAAAACAAAGCTTTAATATTTTCAGGTTTTACAGCATACTTATCTTTTTCTGATTCGCTAATAACATCGTCATCCGAAAGATCTGATGATGAGCATTCCTGAATATTGATTTTTGATTTTTCAGATTCCGATTCACTGCTTTCCATTTTCTTCTTTAGCTTTTTAGCCTTTGTACAAGTCGATATATTTAAACTCCGTTTCATTTCTCTCGCTCTAGCTCTTCTTTCTTGTTCTGCTTTCTTCAGATTTCTTTCCTTTTGCAAGTTCTCAAGTCTAATTTTTTCTGGTGTATCGGTGTAAATTCTGGATTTTCCTGGTTGCCTTCCTTTCGTTGTTTTTTTCTTTCTTTCAGCTGTCGGATAAGGCCGAACCGTTTCTGGTGAAAGGAGAGTTTTCTGCGCTATATAACTTTTTGATGAAGATGGTAAGGACTGAATTGTTTCTGTAGTAGCTAATAACTGTTCCTGACACATAAGCGCTGCTTCAATATCCATATCATGCAGTGACTGCAGACCCTGGCAAGTGGAAACTGCTTCAGTGCTTGTATCTTGTGATGACTGCATTACTTTACAAGTGGAAGCTACTTCAGTGCTCATAATATCTGACAGCACAGACTGGTGACTTGAAACCAATGTTTCAGATGCGTTAGAAACAGTTTCCTTAAGTTCCCGATGCGTTGAAGCCAGTGGTTGAGATGGCACAATAGCAGACTTATTGTCCTGTGAAATGATATTGTTAGATCTTTGGTATCCGAGAGTATTTTCAGTGTTACTCAAAGTATACACTTCAACTGGAGCAAAATCTACATCGCTGAAAGCAAGTTGATTATAGGGCCATATACCTGGTGAACTGAAGCCACTGATGATATTCTTGGCCATGAAAGTTTCTAAGTATGCTATTTTAACAATTTTAGGAATATTATAAATGCTCACAGTTTTTCCTGGATTCGTTACGTGCCAATTATTAAAAGCTATTTTCAATTTTGATTTAAAAGGCCCAAATACCCCAACGTCTAAAGGTTGCAGTTTGTGAGACGTATGAGGTGGGAACGATAAGTAAACTATTCCATTATCTCGTGCATAGTCAATCGCGTCCAAGCTGATGTGACTTTCGTGATTGTCACAGAGTAATAGAATAGGGTTTTCTTTGGAACTAAGTGTATGTTTCTGGATGTGTCTTAACACTTGCACAAATATTTCAGAATTGATCCAACCAGTTCTATTTGTAGCTCCAATACTTCCTTCCGGAGCTCCTTCCATAAAATAGTCTTTAAAATGAACTCGCGGAAACACAAATAGTGGAGGAATTGTGTTTCCAGTGGCTGAGATTATGCCACCAAAAGTAACAAGTTCGCCTCTTTCTCCAGAAACGATTTGCCCGTCTTGCTTCTGTGATCTCGGGGCTAATACTTTCGGAGTTTCTAAAACCGTAGATATTCCCGACTCATTGAAATTAAATATGCGATCAGCCGTGAAGTTATGTCGTTCGTACACCGATTTTAAATTATCGTAAAATTCATTTACTACCGTTTTATTGAACGCAAAAGACCTGGCAGCACTTGTATTTTCCGGTTTTCTTAAAGTCAAGCTTCTATTCCTATTCCGAAATCCATGCATCCAATCGATTCCTGCTAATTGCTTTTCATCCCATTGAGATGAATATTTACATTTTAGAGCTTTGGCATAATCATATGCTAGCTTCCTGACCTGTAGTATTGTGAGCCCATAGTGCATTTTAGAACTTTTTTGTATATATTCACTCAACTGCGACTCTTCTTCAACTGAAAATACTTGGTAACTCGTGAACTTGGAATGAAAACGAGTGCAATCAGCTTCATTGGATGTAATTCTAACTTTTTTTACACGACTTTCCAACGTTGAAGCCTTAAGGCCGTATTTATCGGCTACTTTTCTATATGATAATTTGCCTTCAACTATATCCTTTATTGCTAAACTCATATGTTCTTCGTTGACTTCTTTACTTCTGCTCTCCTTCTTCTTGTAAGACCGCACCATGATTCTTGACAAAAATGTTCAATAAGGGGCACATTCGTACACGTACGAATGTTCCCCCTAGGTGTGTGTACGAATCTACCCCGAAGGTCGAAAACGAAATATTTTAATAAACAGGTAAAACATTTAGAAAAAAACAGGAAAATTGTAATATAAATAACAATATGTAAATATAAATAACAACTGTGACCTACCATTTATTAATAGCCCAGTTTGAATTTCGCGTATAGTTAGCCACAAAACACCCGAAAACATCGATATTATATTTACTTGAATTGCTCGAAAACAGAACGCGTGTGTTCTCGTCACAGTCAATGGACCGACTGGCCACTGGTCTCGAAAGTCAAAATGCGAAATCGGTAGTGTTGTCAAGTAATATCGGTATATTTGGACCAAAAATCGGTAAATAAAAAAAACAATAAATTGAACAAATCAGTATTATACTATTATACTATATTTTAAAGTAGGAATAGTATTTTACTCAATAATGATATTATTAAAACTATTAACAGTTAGGCAGGCTTACCTATACTAGGTATATATATATATATATATGTATACTAGGTAGGTAAGTACGTACTTACTTAAATCAACAAATAACAATGATAAACAAGTCCAACTTATGAAATTAACCATAAAAGACGTGGAAAATACCAAAAAGAGCGATCAGAATAAAGAAATAATCAAAATGCCTTAATCTTCACTCGTCCTTTTCAACGTGCAGCCACAAGATAACGACTGAGCTGGTGAAGGTATCATTTTGTTATTTGAAGGGTCCACTGTAACTTGCACTTGGTTTTTCGTTCGATGACATTTTGATTGAGAGACCACGAAACTAACAATCAACCACTTTAATAAAATTTAAGAAAATAAATGAATGAAGAAATCCGAATTCTTATTTATACAGACTACAAATTTTCTCAGTGAATCCCCTAAAATGGTAAGTTTTTATTCCCCAAATAAATCGTTTACACGTTGACAGATGTTTGAGCTAGGAAATTCCTGTGTTAATTTTTTGTTATCTGTCCCTGTAAAAGAAAAAAAAATAGGGATGCCAACTTGGATTATTGAAAATCGATAAAAATTCCTTAAAAAAAATCGTAGAAAAATCGATTCATTTCGGTATTTCGGTAGGATGAGCGCCAAATCGGTAGGAATACCGAAAAATCGGTAGGTTCGAGACCACTGCGACTGGTGGCGAACTTCATTAATAAATGGCCGCCGCTTGCGCCTACTCTCCCATGCAAAGTAAAGCGTGAATATAGTAACGATAGATTTTTAAAAGCGTCTGTATGAAGCTGCCCCGTGTACGAAGGGTCCCAATCTTCCCCTATAGAATAGTTTTATTGTAGATTGATGAAATATATATTCACACATAGTAAATTAATGTAATAACTGACTCCTAGCATATAATAAATAGTATCGTATGTGACCACTAGATGGCATTGTATTGTATAGAATATTGGTGACAAATAGATGGCGCTATTCACTATTGCAGAATGTTAAATCGCAAAATCAGTTTAATTCGAAGCAAAGGTTTACAACCAAATATGTTTTATTGTCGGTCGTTAAAATAATATTCACATTTATAATTTTAAGTATTTGGTCATTTGGTCAAGAGTATTCATTTTTACTTAATTTTCTCATCAGCCAATCGGCGGCAGTTTCCGCCACATCATGGGATGGATTGCTACTAAAAAGTAGGGTTGATTATTTCACGTCCACAAAGAGCGCTGCAACATAATGTTTCAGCACCACTATCTAGAAAACTCAGAACTGGATCGGATGAAAAGGTTCTAAGATGATCTTACTCGGAATCGATTCGGGAGTCTCTGATGTAAAGATTACCTTGTAGGTTGATTTTCATGCGGATGATGAAGTTTCCATAAAACTTCTCTTTATATATTTCACAATTTATTGAACTACCTCCATTCTTCAAACGCACAAAAATTGGTCTAAACGAAAATATTTTTCTAGACAAATCTCAGTCTATTTCAAAACAGAAAAAAGACAAAATAGGCTCGTTACTACCCAATAACTCTCACCGTGTGATGTAGAGGAGTATTTCCGACCCTGATCGGTCCATCGCTCAGACATGCTACATTGCGCGAGTAGTGTAGATACGTGTATATATGTTTAAGTACAGAATAGTAAGAGACCCTATAAAGAACCCGAAACATTGGTTTGTGGTATGCGATTTAGATTCGAAAACATAGTTAGGAAACTATGGAAATGATTCCAAAGAACTCGATATAAAAAGGCGTTAACCGTAATGTTAATAAATATTACCGCCAGTGGTGAGTGTTAGTTCAAAAACACTATAATTTAGCACATACAAAGTGTAGGTGTATAAAAATCTCAGTACAGAATACTAAAAAAACCGACCTCAAAGGTGCATGGAATTATATATATTTGCCAAGTTTTATTGAAATCGGTTACCGTAAAATGCGCGAAACCGGATTCATCCCTAGTTTGTCACATTTAGAGATGGAATATTTTTTTTTTAATTTAAATGGGACCAACTATTGAGGTACCTTTCTGTACCTCTTACTCTTTCTAACAAAAAAGAATCAACAAAATCGGTACAAATGCCGCCGGAGTTATCGGTAACATACACACAAAAAAAGAATATATAGTCGAATTGATAACCTCCTCCTTTTTTTGAAGAACGGACTCAAGTAGTTCAGACGATTCGGGTCTAATTCTTTCTGCTACCTAACTTCGGCACTGAACTAGAGATAAAAAAAAGAAAAAACGTAACATTTGTAACACCGTTCCCGTTAAAAAAAAATCACAGTGACAAAGCACCGTGATTTTGTCACACTTGTCACTTACCTACATCACGATGTACGGTTTTGGCAAGCGGCTACTTTCTAATAGTTGTTATAAATATAATAATTTAAGTTATTACTTATTTTGAAGTTACTTTGAAGTAACGTTTATTAAATTTATAAAATAAATTAAATTTAAAAAGTAAATTTGAAAAGTAGATCCGCAATAATCTTCACAGTTTTGCAGGGTTAGGACTGTCGCAGTATTCGTTAATAAGACCATGCGGCGTGTTTATTATTTTGGATCAACTTTGTACAATTATCTTATTTGTATTTACAATATTTACACTGATCTTATTATTTCTTGATTCATAATTAGAATGCAAAACTAAAAGCGGACTACAATGAATTCGTCGCCATTGTCTACAGAATGGTGATCGCGCATGATTTTATTTGTAAAATATGTCTTATGTCGTGAGTAAAGGAGATTTTGGAACGTAGTACCTTCGTAAAAAGTCACGATGATACTATTTGACCGCTGATTATTGCGATTTTTTCATCGTGACGTTATTTACCACACTCTTCTCTACACTGAACCTTGTGCTTTCACATCAGTGAGACACACTGTTGGGTCCTAGCTATGGGAACTTGCCTTTTTTGTTAATATACTTTTTGTACACGAAGTCTGCGTCTCAATTTGCTTTCTACGAATTCCTCCTCGCCGACCCCGCACTCAATACTAGAAACATTAGCCTAAACATAATGTTGCTATAGTTTTTCCATATTTTAACCGAAAAGCAGGACAAAACAGTAAATAAACCATTAAACTTTTGCATACCTCTTGACTAAAGAATACTCCGCTTAATTGACATTGCACAAGAAAACATTTTGTGTGTTGTTATTTTGTGTAATTCTATACCCCACAGACCATATAAAGTTATACCCCAATTGGATTATACTACATCTGATTACAGGGAACCGGAGGGAACATTCTGTTAGGTAGACATGAAAGAGGCGGGGTCTCAGGTGATGTAGCCCTCTTGTATCCTTACTTTAGGAGCCAATTACTGACTCTTGAACATGGACTGGATATGTTCGGTGGTCTAATATCTTGTCGGAGCTTTGGGAATTGCTTGTTTAATTTATTTATTATACATATATTTCGAAGCAGTTCTCAATTTCAATAATATAATAGTAAATTATTTATTTACTATTATATTATTGATAGTTCAATACTATTCTTGCAAGTTACGAAGTTTGATTTTATATTGAAATTTTATTCAATGTGTTGCCATCTAGCGGCAATTGCTGAAAGATGACTAACAATTAACGCCTATTAACAATAAAAGAAAAGACCATATCGCAGCTGTATAAGGTTTACTTTCGTTTCTTATAACAAAGACTCTATTACGATAAACGGAAAATGGAAGAAAATATTAAAATTATATAAAGACTTAACGATGATTTCAAACACCGTCATGGATAAGATTTTAGGTGCAAATATTATTTTTGCACTCTGAAGTAGTAAAGTAAGACATTTTTCTGCGATATTCGAGGTTTGTTTGTATGAGTTATTTGACACGACCATATCGTACAAATCGAAATGGCGGATTGAGCTCAAGTATGCGGAACTCCGCATCCTGTAGGCACACGTGCCACTCCCAGCACTTCTACAGCATTTGTTCTGCAATTGAGACAATATTCGAAAAATTTTAACATATGATTATTTTACGATCACAGAATATAATTCCCATTAGCGCCCAGTTACACAAGGTGAAAGTTTTAGCGCGGCCGCCGCGCGGCGATCACCCAGTTACCATGCCTTCGTGTACATTAAAGGCGAATCTGCGCATTTATTCGTGTCGAATATATGTTGAGTGTGTGCGTTAAAAAAAAAAAAAAGAATAAATGCGCCCTAGGATGCTACAAGCGAACTGTCCCTTGGGGTTATCTTCAAATAATACAGAAAATCTTTCATAACAACGTAAATATTAATGTTAAAAGAATGATAATGTAATGTAACGTAATGTTCCTCTGTAAATGAATAAATAATGAAGATGTATAGTTTGCTATATATCGTCATTATTTATTCATTTACTTGCTTTGGCAAGTACGTTTCACACCCATAGAATGTTGCGGTAACCGCAACAGGATTGATATTAGATCCATCCAATCTCTGCATTTACGTGTTCAGTTTTCCTGATAGTGGTAATGGTTGCGAACAATTGCTTT